TTAATAAGTATATACTTATAATACAAACGTTTTTGGGTATCAACCTCCATCAGGTATAGGTATACATAATTATGTATATTATTTTTTTAAATATTGTTTTTTTTTGTATAAAATATTCAGTGTAACTTATACATGTTGTTGATGCCTTCCATATCAATTGCAATGGTTCAGAGTATTTCTCTTTACTTCCTGATACTGCTATTTCTTTTTAAAAACACCTTAAAATTCACATCTTGATTAGAATTATTGTTTTATTTTATAAAATATTCTTAGTTTAAACTCTTTAAAAACAATAATTAAGATGTTTATGAAAATAAAAGTGTTACAATACAATGTAGAGTGGTTGTTTTTGCTTCAATTATTGAATGGCGTGTTTTATACCGCCATTTTTTTTTATCGAAAAAATAACAAATAGCAAATAATAAGGCTGCTCATTAAAAAAAAAATCAAATTCTGGACGTGAAACTAATAATAAATTTTATTTGGCTTTAAAACGTGTGGTGTATTTATTGGTGTATTTTATAAACATTAATCAGAGTACATGTATGTATCAAAATAGAAATTTAAAAAATCAAGAAAGTACAAAACTTTACCTCAAGTGTACTGTGGGAACCTTTTGTGGAGCGGCGCATACAGTAGGCCTATGTTTATTATTATAAAGATCAGAACATTTATGGTATGGAAAAGCAAAAAAACAAGAATCGTATGCTAATTTAATAAATTTGAATTTTGGGTCATTCTTCGCTAATGTGCCATAGAGGTTTAGAAATCATGAAAAAAAAAAGTTTAACATTTGTAATTCTTTTATTACACATGTCATCATTATGTCATAACAACTATAATAAACATTCGGCACGATAATTAGGGCATTTTAAACGTTTATTTAAGCATTCAATTTTCAGTGCTGTATAGCAAATATTGCAAGAATCATCTCCATCACACTTTTTGTGACGGAGATGATGCCTATACACATAGATGTTAATCTTAGTAAATTTCAAAGATAGATTATATTATATAAATATAGAAAAATAAACATTGAACAAAATGGTTTCTAACAACTTAAACCAGATCAATTATAATTTTTATTATATATTCTTTTTTGAGGAAAGAAAACATGAAGAAGTCATCTCCATCACAGTAAAATTGTGATGGAGATGACTGTGACGGAGATGAGGAATTAAACTTGTTAGATCATATAGTACCATATGCAGTGTGTTACAGGTTGAATGTCATGTGTACTTTGAAAATGACGCACTTCTGATCGTATATATAATTTTTTTCCTAAAAGAATAATAAATAAAGCATACTCTGAAGCGTTCGGAGATGATGCTGAATAAAGGTACTTTTCTGGTTGCTAATGCTATTAGAAATGCATGAATTCTTCATCTATAGGTGGTTTAACTGTACAAGAACGGACTGTTTTTTACTGTATGGTCCCCTTCAACCAAAATGGTTTGATCCATAACTTGTAATGGCATTTTAAAGTACAGTATTGTGACGGAGATGATAACAATTCAGGGACAAACTTTTTTAGTCTAAAAAAGTCAAATTTTAAGTATTTGCTGCGAAGCAGCCAATTCATATTCTTGACAGCAATTTGACCTCTGAAAGGTCATTGTTTGTCAAAAAACACGGGCCTAAGACAAATGAAAAGCGGAGTTTTCTTCTTTCGTTCTGCCGGGTAAAATCAATTACTTTAGGCGATGTTTGTAGACTAACCAACACGTACCAACGTCCGCATGTCGCGCTAGCCTTATCCTACTCTAGGCCTAGACTAGCTAGGATGGTATAGGCCTAGGCCTAGCCTTGAAGGGACGAAGGTCCCAATGAAAAACAACGTCGCTCCTTGAGAGCTAACATTGTCTATTTAACATCACAATAATTCATTATTAGACTATAGTTGTTTTTTGAATTGTACTCCACAAATCTCAGCCGATACCTCGCACAATCGAGTAACATCTCGTAACTATTGTTGTGACGTCATGGCTCGCTGGCTCGACACTTGCGATGTCTCACACTTGTAATCAAATAACACACTGGCTCGCACTTTGGCAACACTCTTTGGCAGTCAACTCGCCCCTAGAAAACCTGCCCTTGGAAACTTGCCCCATAAAAAAATGTACACTTCCTAGACCATGCAATCTTCAAAATAAAAATTGTAACCTTTGGTAATCATCTACATTTTCTACATACATAGAAATTTTGAAACTTTATTAAAAAAAACTTAAACCATAATTCACCACTATAGACACTTTTTGACAAAAATGAAAAATTACGACTTTGTTTAATTTACCCAATGAGAAGTGTTCTAATATAGACAATGGGTTGTGTCTCATATTATTTGTTATATTTTTATTATTCATTATTTTCACTTGATTCGCATTATAATTTTGTTCGAAGAACATATATGCAGTTGTACTTCGCAGCACTTCACTTGCAATTTGCAATTTCTAGTTATAGTTCTATTGATGTCATTTTTAATTTTAAATTTGTAAGACATCTATTGTATCTTTTTTGTGGTACAGTTATTTATTTAAGCTATTTATTTTACAAATTATGACATTAGGAATTCTTAAGAAATCCAATTGGGACATGCATAGTGCACGACTTTGGAGGCTTTTGGTTGAAAAATAAACAACATGTTGATTACTTTTAAAATATTTAACAACTTATTTCATTAACAAATATGTTCAAGATTGCATTAATGCAATAAAGATAAAATTTCCTTTAATATTTTAAAATTTATACTAGATTAAAACAAAGGGACGGGAAAATGGCACTTTACTGAAGAATGACCCTTTTATTAAGCATTTTAAACATGGTCAGTATATAATCGGGAAAGACAACAAACGATGACGTGTCTCAAACCAATGGATTTATTACATTTACGTTTATTAATAAATCTATTAATAAACTGTAAATAGTAATAACATAAACAAAATTTAATATGAAAACAATTAGCTGTTAGGCCCTGCTACACATTAATTAATTTTTATGTTTAATTTTTGTGTTTTTCATTTACAAGATTGAAATTCATTGTTTATACTGCTACCCAGACCAGGGAGCTGTTATAAGCAAGTATGAATGTTCTGTAGGCATACAATATGTAAGCCCAGCTATGCTACCCCCTAGCTGCGTAGTTCATCCCCAGCTACCCAACTGCATAGACTGGCATCTACCGTACAAGCCTGTGTGACCTTTCTCTGTGCCTAGTAGTAGAGATAGGCCTAGCTTTCAGTGTTGAGGTGTGCTCAGAGTTCAAGATTTGTTTATTCTCCCCGCAATGAGGGGCGCTATCGCGCATGTGCTAGTGATCGCCGTAAAAATAGCCACAGCGTTATTAATACATGACATGTACATCTTCCCTTTTTTGCACAGTGTGTGGCCTTCTTACACTGTGTAAACAATCAATGCCTGCGTTCATACACAACTCGCCTTCACATTTAACGGGTATGAAGCCAGCGAGTCGCCTGCAGCCCTACGACCAACCCTCGTTCATGCTTTGTAAATTCAGTGGGTAGTTAGGTCACTCGCTAATTTTGTTATGAAAACATTACCAAAGCCCAGCTCTTCCATCTTTGTAATTATCAGCCCGTAGGTTTGTGCGTTCCTCCTTTTCCCATCACAACCTTCTTGTATGGGTAGACCCCCCACACACTTATCAGGGCGAATGTTGCCTCTTCTGTCCAGACGTTTTTTCCGATTCATTTTATGGGGGTATAGCGAAGTCCCGAGTAAATAAAGTTAAATATATTTTTGCGGCGTAGGAGCAATGCACGTGTTGACTCTTTGGAGAATTGAGAGAAAAGGTATAGGAATAATGCTTGGGAGGACCCTTATTGCACTCGCAGCATGAGGTAGGCCTATTTTGGACATCCCTCGTTAGTAGGCCTAGGCCTGTAAAAGTCATTAATGTCATCACCGAGGTCACGAGGATTCGCCTCGGGCAACTTTTAACCGGCAAGTTTGGTGGGTTGGCTAACCTGCTTTTCGGCCAGATGTTTTTTTAATTACCCCCGTTCATACTACCTTCGAATTATATTTCCGGTAATATTCAACGGGTAATAACATAAGCATGAACGGGCCCAATGACATTTAAATGATAAAAAGATTTATTACACACATTAACACAGCAAGGTTCTTGATGCTATTTCCAACATGCAAGGTCACTGAAAGTAGTATACAAAACACAGTAAACAACTTCTATTCATAAATTTAAATGTTTACTTCCATAATTAATTATACACACAGTATAATCACAAACAAAAATCAATTAGATTGAAACAAAAAAAAAAAAAAATTAGAGTGAAAAAAAAAAAAAAAAAAAAAAAAAAGGCTAGAACTAGGGTCGGCCTCTTGTTTATTTTGCCTACTGTGATCGTCAACTAGCAATACCTCACTTAAGGACAATCAGTTGTTTAATGGGTCATAAATCTTCATTAACATGCACAATGTGTGGTTTTATGAACCACAATTTATTATTATCGTGCACTCCGGTAAGTTGTGTTGAACATCAATCTTACCTTAAAATACAGTCAGACACAAGCGTGTAATCAGTCAACCATTTAACAGGGGTGGGGGAGCAATGAGCTAACGGCGTCAGAACGCGATTCTGTCGTTCGAAAATTGGTGGAAATGACTCTTAATTGTCTCATACATACATATTAATTAGGATTTCAGCTAGAAACTTGCACTATATATTTAATATAGTTTGTCTCTTTTTGAATGTATTACTCATGATGCTTAATAAAGCAGAACATAGAATAAAATGGCCTCAATTTTTGAAGTGACATTCATACTGTTTGTCATAATTGAGATATTTTTTAAAATGAATAGTCAAATTAATGTAATCCTAGTGTGCTCCTACCAAGTATTGTAAAGAAGATTATGTAGTATTTTCATTGTAGGTGTGTAGGTTTCTCGTATGCCTCAGACCTATGGATAACCTATTTGTAGGCCAGAGTTACAAATTAATTGACGACTTTTTATTGCTTGCACAGAGACTTGTCGAATGGTTTTTTGATAGCAGAGATATGCTCATGGTATTATCCTGATGACATCAACATGCATTCATACAACAATGGCAATTCTCTTGAAAGTAAGCTGGGCAATTGGTTTCTGCTACAGAACGTAAGTTTTTGACAATTTCACATTTAGAATTTAGATTTTTTCTTAATAAAATCAGGTTGTATTTATTACACTTCAATATTTTTTTCCATAATATTTTTCCCGCTATAATAATTACTATGGATGTAATTCAGTTTCAAACTCTGTGCCGAACAAACTACCATTAACGCCAGTCGTCGTAACGAGCGCACATGTTTATGTTTGAACGACAGAAACACGTTTGAGAATGATGTCATTCCGAACGCGTTAGAGAAATTCACCTACCTCATTATATTCTCATTGAATATTTATTAGCTTAGCAAGAGAAGGGTGGTTCTTGACCGAGGTTCGACAGAAACGTGTTCAAACGTGCTTGGTCGCGTTTGAACGTTCAAGTATTTTAAGACTTTCTGGCTGGGCCTAGGACTTGGATTGCCCTAGGCTTCGTATTACACTAAACAAATTAATTGCCATAGATTCAACATTGTTTGTTCAACACAATCTTGTTAATGTGCTACGTTGTAAAAAAAAACTGCCTGTCTTGCGATGCTGCTGATTCAGCCCCCAGGCTGATTCAAGTGTCGCACGTGTGAAGAAAGTGTAAGGTAGGCCTAGGCCACCACTAGTTTGTCAAGGCAAGGCCCTGGTGGTTGTTGCCTAGGTTACTACTACACGAATGTCATTCTTTTAGCCGGCAGACTTATCTGGCCGGGATGTACTGTAGGCCTATCAGGAATACACACCATCCTCATTTTATAAAAATAGGCTTATAATCAGTTACCAAAGCCATCGCATGAGAATTTTAACACGGTGGAGGGTACAACAGCAAACTTCTGTATTTACTTTAAATGGTTAACAGATAACCATGTTTTATATAGAAAGTCTACTGTCATCCCCATCGTTAGTTTATGATAAAGTGTGATAGAGTACTATACTAAAGAAACTCGTTTAAATTTAGCCTGGAGTTAAAAAAAATCGCCGTTATTCATCATCGTTAAATGGTAATAATTCGAGGATTACTGTATCTAAGCTTAGCCTTAGGCTGAAACTGCTCTACACCAGCCTCGTGAAAGAGACTTTCAAGTTCATGACAATTATTCTTGGACTAATATATTAAACTTAAATGTGCATTTGAGTGTATTCTGGATAAACCACCTATCATTGTAATCAATTGTAAATATTTATCATTATTATCATTATTATTATTTTTATTACTATCATCGTCATAATTATTTATTATTATTATTTCGACATTACATGTAATTAACTTGGTCTAGCCTTGTAATCAAGAACCTGCCGATTACTATGCCTAATCGCGATTTTCGGGAGACTTGGGATCTCTGTTAATAACTAGCTCATGTTTGCATTCATTTGATGTTTTGCCATTTTGGCAGGTCTATGGCATCCCAGTATTTTAGAGCTGCCTATTCTCAGCTCTTCTCTTAATTTGAACATAAAGTCATTCTGTTTCATTTGATCAGATGAAGAAAAACGCGCTTTTCCTTACCCTTTGTGCTTTTCACAGAAAGCGTTTTTAGTAGGCCTAGGTAATTATGCAAAACCCAGGCCTAACTAAAAAATTAAAATTGTCATAGTATGTAACTCAAGTTAAAATAACACTTTTCATTACTCGTGCAGCTTAATCAAATATTATATGTAATTTTAAACGACCCAATTGGCATTAACATGGTAACATCAATTTATTTTTTTAAATTAGACAGCGACGTTCTCTCAGAAGTTGTTCTGTAGACGTTTATCTATTGATGACCTTTTGACCTCCTGAATTCTGCAATGAGATTTTCGGGTCGATTCAGCCGAGACGGCCGAGTGGAGTTTCATGTAAATGTTTCGTACGGAAAAAAAAATCGCAGCCAGGCCCTAGTGAATTGACTATCATCACAGTAAATTTAACATGTTAGAACATGGGCTGGAGGGGGGGTCACCATGCACCCCACTCCCCCCCCCCACAGTTAAACTTTCTTGGTATCATTTTGTTCCTATGGGCGTATAAAATGAAAAAATTGATGTTAACAAGAAAAATATAGAGATGCATTTTATGTAGTCGCGTCATTTGTAATGGTCGTTATAGTGTTTTATGGTCAATCCTTTTTTGGGGGGGAGGGGTAACATTTATGCCCATAACCTGTGAATTAAAAATCCCATCAATGTTATTTTGGTAGCATTGTGTAGCATATATGTTTCTTAATCATGTGCAGTTTAATTAAAATTATTCCGACAATTAATAACGTCACTAGAGGTCAAAAGGTCATCGACCTTTTTCTAAAATGCAAATTTTTTCATAAAATATCAATAAACTTCAGTGTCATATGTCTAATTTTAGATGTATTTGATACAAATTGTGTTTTTCTTGTAGTTATTAACATATGGAATACAAAAATTGAGGTTAACAAGAACAAAAATTAAAATGCATTATGTACTTTTGTCAATGTTTATGATCCAAGAAATTTGTAATCAACAACAGTTTTTGGGGTAGGGGGTAACATTTATGCTCATAACCCTTGATTTAGGTAAATATAAAAAAAACAAAAGCTATGCTTATAGGATCATCTCAAAAAGTCAGACGTAGTCAAGCTATAAAACTTACTATCAACCAGCAGCCTATTGAAAACGTCACTTGTATTTAAGCACCTTGCTATTTATATTGACAGCAATCTCACTTGGAACAACCACATCTCTTACCTTTGCAACAAACTTAACTCTTCTATTTTTCTCCTTTCTCGAACTAGATACTTTATTAACTTTCAAACAGCTCTGCTTCTTTACAACTCCCTTTTCTTACCCCATGTCGATTACTGCATTACTGTGTGGGGTTCAAAACCTAGCCACATTTCTAAAATTCAAAAACTGCAAAACAGAGCCCTTCGGACCATCCTTCAAGTTCCTTACACTACTCCTACTATTCAACTCTTTTAAAACACTATCTCCTCTCTTACTATTTCCCAACGTGCAGATTTTCAAACTGGCTGCCCGGCCTACCGAGCTTCCAACAATCTTGCCCCTGTTTAGCGTGTATGGCGGATCAAGTTTTTACAACTTTTGGGGAGTTTTTATCATGCCAAACGGCGATCCCTGTGCAGTGTGGGGATGTGATAACGATTGGAGATATCCTGAAAGGTATAAATTGTTGTCTTTTTCGTAATAAGATACCTGCTAAAAAGGCCTTTTAAAGGGAGATTCTTTGACTAAAGATGGCTATGTTTAGCCTGTATGGAGGATCGAGTTTTTACAACTTTTGGGGAGTTTTTATCATGCCAAATGGCGATCACTTTGCAGTGTGGGGATGTGATAACGATCGAAGATATCCTGAAATGTATAAATTGTTGTTTTTTTTGTAATAAAATACTTGCTAAAACGGCCTTTTAAAGGGAGCTTCTTTGACTAAAGATGGCTATGGCTATGGATCTGTCTCTCAGCTGCTTCATCATTGGCTTAACTGGTAAACCAAGCTTTTCAGCCCAATAAGGGAGCCTCGCAAAATAAAGCAACGCGTATACGAGTGGACCACGCGATGCGATTAAAGGCAGTTTAATCCCATAGTTGGCCACGCGTTGGGATTATTTTCCTGGGCTACTCCACTTCGTAGTGGGGAATTGATAACAGGCTTAGTGTAAAAACCCAACTAACACAAACAAAAACGTCTCGTATAAAAATAAACCCTATTGGAAGTAACGCAAGCTCACATTATATTTCTGAGAATTACATTAATAATTTATCGAGATTATCGTCACCGTTACGATCAAAACCAACAAACAGCAGAAATATAAAACTAGGAGAGGCCTAGGACATAGATATTATACCTCCATGGATAGGCCTAGGCTTTGGATACTCAGAAAAATTACGGAGTAAAATTAAAAATCGAAAACAGGCAATTTTTATGAATTTTTGTTAGGCCTAACTATATCTTTTTTACAGATAGTCTTTAAAATTATCATTTCTTATATCGTTTTAGTATTAATTAAGATTATTAAATAAAACTGTCTAGGACGACAGACAGATCGGTCTACTACAGTAGGCCTACATTCGATCTTGAACTTAGATAGGGTACACTTCCTTCAGTGTTAGCGAAATACAAAAAAAATATTGAACTTCATATAACGTACCTTTATCTGATTTGGTGGAACAGTATATCCATTGTATGTGACGAGAAACGTTTCAAAAAAAGCAAAAACAATCTCCAGCTAGCAGTTACATGCACTTCTCTCACCCTTTTCTACCGATGAAACACATGTTTTGATGCGGCACAAACCTAGACTCTATTCTATTTCAATGTTGATTAATCTCGAAGTTTAGAATATATTTATTATATATGGTTATCAGGCTCTTTAAAAAAGGTATTGTATTGTATACTGTAAAATATTGTTTTCTCCGTGTTTTCTCTAGATTGCTGTTCAATGTATTGGTTTCACCCCTTTTCAAACAGCGAAGCACATGTTTTGTTTCGTCGTTGATTAACCATGGACTCTACCATTCCATATGGGTTATTAATCTTATAATAATTTTTCAAAATAATTAAATTTAAAATGTATAATCATTAAATCGTTTTTAAACACTTGAATGTACCAAATGACTATGTTATTTTACTACAGGGATTTTAATTTCATTTATAAAACGCACTGGTAGTTTTCAATTGTTGATACGCCACGGCGTATCAAGTGGACTTGGAACGTTTTCCTTGCAGTGTACTGCATCGCCGGCTGGAAGTTTAGGGCCTGTGGTTTTGACATACTCTACAAAGTAAAAGTTAGACGCTTGACTCTGGTCCATGTACTCAATGGGCTATGAAAAAACAAAAAAAATAAAAAACACTAAAATAAATGTATTGTGTTTAGATCAGATTATCATACAAGCATATACAGTACAAACAAGCGACTGCACACACACAGTAGATCTTGATCACTAATTAGGCCTATGTTCATGTAATCA